CATTTCGTCAGCCACAGATTTTTGGACATTTGCTGATGTTGGGGTCGTACTCCGCCGTAGATTTCGTGGGGGATTTTTCATCCCAGGAGACTTGTTCTTTTGTGGAATGCGAGGAAGAGTCGGTGGGAGGCTATCAAGTAGTCCTTTATAGATGTGCCCGTCCTGTCCAAGGATATCCACGGGTTTAAAGTCTTTCTGCGGCACAAGGAAGTCGAACTCGCCGTTCAGCTGAAGGCCACGGACAACAGCTTGACTGTGGGGGTAGGTGAGGGTGTGAATACCACCACACGCTCTCGCGGTCACCTCAGCTAGCTCTTGAAGATTGCGTGCTCCACTAACAAACATGAAAAGAACCAGAATATAAGAATTTAAACAATATAAAGGCATGGACAATCAGAAATCTGACTCGAATGATGAATCCAAAACGTATATCAGTAAATTGTGAAGTGAACACAATTAATTTCTATGGCCATTTCATATTTGGTGTGTGGAAAATGATATGGAGAAAATGCCAACCTGAGTCGTAAAACTTCCTTCTGTAGCTTGGTTCGCTGCCTCTCCAACAGCTCAAATCTTTCCTTACCAACACCCAGTTCTCCCCGAAGCATGTGCTGACGTATCTGTTCCAGCTCGAACGTGGTGTAGGGACGGCTCGACTTTGATCCCGGCAAAGAATGAATTGTGGGTAATGGAGGGAAGGCCTCCTCCTTGGCATACTGAACAGGGCGGTCACATGATATACAGTTGTGATTTACCAAGAACTGTTTACGGATGCCTGCAGCAGACTCTTCCGGCGGCGGTTTTTCCACCGGTTTAGGCTTCATAGATTCCATGCGCGCTTCAAGGTAATGTTTCAATGGTTCCACTTCTTCTTTGTCGAGTTTTCTGCCGACGTTTAAGTTGACTCCTTCCAGTGCGTGTTTTAGTGCATCCTCCTGAATGCAGAAAAGAGTTTTGTTGGTGGACTAAAATAAGAACCTTCATTTGAAGAATATGACTGACTGACCGACCGAAGGACCGACCGATCGACGGACCCGCAAACCGACTGACCGACTGACTGACCAATCGACCGACCGAATTTCTTCGAAGCTTCGCATTTTTTCAGGCTTTCTACATATCGGTGAAAAGAAACAGGCTTCCTGATTATACTAAAAGGTTAGTTAATCTATAGCCCAGCCAGTGATATTCCAGAGCTCCTGTAAAGACACTTAGACACGTTCCCTAGCTAAGACGTCTTCTTGTAAGAAGCTTTACTGCACTCAGCTTGTATTATTAGAACTTACTCACATGGCCGTCTAATTTTTGCAGCAGGTCTCGCAAGGACTGATCAACAAGACTCATGTAGTGCTCGAAGTCTTCCCTTCCAATCTTTGCATCCACTTCTCTTTTGTCAGCTTTCAACTCAAAGCCCATGCTAAGGAGTTCTTTATCCGCCTTAACGTCTCTCAGTTCGTCAACCAAATTATAAAGTTCATCGAGGTGTCTTTGCTTTTTGTAGAGTTCGTCACTCAAACGAATGTCGGCCTCCCTCAGTTTGTCTTTCTCTTCTTGTAAGTCAAATATCATGCTTCGAATCAGGCTCAGTTCACCACGGTCGACGGTATGCGAGGCTTGCCTGTGAGTTGGAGTTTCCACCTCAGCGACAACTTTTTCTTCTTCTAGAATGAAACGCAAAACCGTGAAACAAAAAAACCTTGGTATTTTTCTGTGGTGGGACAGAGCTATCACGTGAGCGAGAAACTGGATGTTTAGCAGAGCTGCATTAGTAAAAACCATTCAGTTAAGATAAGAAACACTGTCAGTACCCGTGCACGGTTCAGTTGTAATAACGGACCCTACACATTATGACAAGAACTTACTATCGCATACAACGGTCATATAAATGAGAGCCCCCCATTTGGCGCGAAAATTTGCTCCGATATCTCAGTGTCCGCGGATATTATCTCTTCCGAGAAGCGAACAGTTTTCTGAGAGCGTAGTTCGAGGAAAACTGTGAACTTTGAGGAACAAATAATGTCCAAGGACAAATATCCGAGCATATTTCCGCGCCAAATGGGGGCTATTGTATTTATTATCCTTCAAAAAATTCTTCTCAACGCGCGCAGTTTTGAAAACTGAGGGATATCACTCGGATATTCTCCAATTTTAGCTGGGGGATAACCAGTCAGGTGATGCGTTTAGACCAATCGCGCACGAGGGAAAATATTTGATAGGACGAATATTTCACGGAAATGGATATTCCCTACCTTGTTTCTTTTCTGCCTCCTCGTTCGTTCGCTCTAAACTATCGCGTTTCATCAGCATCCAAGTGTTCTTCAGCTGATGAATCTGCATTTCATTGTCTTCGATAAGAGATCTTTCGCTCTTTAGCTCCTTCTCGAAAACCGCTAGCTTGTCTTCGATGTCGTTGAATCGCACTTTGCACACTTCAAGTGTAGCCAAAGTGTCATTAGTAGCTTGCCCCACCTCGCTTGACTTCTCGTCTGCTTCTTTAAGTTCCCCTTTTAATTCACGAATTTGAGTTTCCAATTCTTGCAGTTGTTCCTCGTGCTTGTCGAGTGTTTGCAGAGCTTCAGAAACTGTCTCTGGCAGATCTGTTCCCGCTTCTTCGTCACTCACTGCCGCCGCTTTTTTCGTAAGTTCGGCCATGTCCTCCTTTAGATTTGCAAGCATATTTTCTATCCCATCCATCCTTGCCTCGTTATCTTCCAGTTTTGCCAGCTGTTTTCCTTGCCCTCCATCTTGTTTATCATTGCCCCCTTTCGTGGCGTTCAGGGTTTTTCTCAGCTCTTCAATATCGGAGCGCATATCATCAAAACTTCCTTTCGGTTCATTCCGCAAATTTTCTTTCAGTTCGTTCACATCGGACGTTAGAGCATCGACCATCTCTGTTAAACCTTCCAGAGAATTCTCGGAGGCTTCGACCTTTCGCTTAATGTTGATTAATTCCACGAAGTCATGAGCGGGCGTCTTGCTTTCTTTCCGCACCAAAGAAGCTGCGGATCTCACAGGATCTGTTGTAGTGTTGGCAGGTTGAGACTCGAGGAATTCCACCCGTTCTTGAAGTTCTGAAACTCTCTTCTTCAGGCTTTTTAGGGAATCTGATCTCCCTAACAACATCACGGCACTCCGAGATGCGGCTGGAGACTCTTTGACTGAAATCCCTTCTAACTTTGGTGACGGCAGTGGAGACAAATTTCTTTCCGGCACCACCAGAGACTCTGAGGGCTTACTTTCTACCACCATAACTTGCGACTGTTCCTCTCCACCTTGCTCTACCTCCAGATGTCCCTCCTGCCCTGTTTCAACTTCAATTCGTGGTCTGTCAGCGGCTTTGATTTGTGGCTTGTCTCTCTCTGCTGGCTCAGTTTGCGCCCTCACCGTTGACTCAACTTGTGGTCTTCTAGCTGGTTCAGTGCTTGGCCTGACCGGTGATGGAGACTTAGCGTGACTAACTTCCACATACCCATCCTTGATGAAGTCGTACGCAGATTTCAGTTCACTAGCGATGGCATCGATGTCTATAATCTTATTTCCAATGTTGAGGTGTTGTAAGATTTCGTGCAGAAACACGCGCAAAATGTTAAAATTCACCGTTCCTACATCTGGACTTGTGAGCGCAATGTCTAGAAGTTGTTCTAACTCTACAAATGTCGGCATTTCGGCGAAATTTTCTCGAAAACTCAAATAGAAAATGACAGTATCGTTTCGACCACGCCTCGGTGTCAATACTTTGCCCTGTTACGATCAACTAATTGATTACGTTACAAAGACCTTTTAGCGCGCTCCGCAGACTGTAATTAGAACGTCGCGTCGCGGTTTGGCTTCTAATCACTCTGTTCCAAAGATTAACGTAATTCCGTCAAAAAGTAACACGAAATTATTTTTAAGTTCTTTTTAATGAACGAGTAAACTTGTTTCACAATTCTTTCTCGTTACCGTACCACGAGTTTCCAGATAAGCCTCGAGACAAGCCTCCCATCAAACAACTCATCCACACTACGATTTGAAAACAGAGGTACCACTCTACGCCGGAGGAATTTAAAAAAGGAACAATCACCGGTCATTTTGGACTTGTGTTTGCAGAAAACACCGTTAGGGAAATCACTTGATTATCGTGACGTCATCGTTTTCGAAAAGCTCCGTATTCAAAAGGAGTTTCCGTCCACACGAAAACGAAAAGCCGGCGTTTTCAAATTTCTCCAGTGTGAAGAGCGTTTTCGCGATTTCATGACGGATCAGTGTGGACGGCAGGCCTAACCTCAGGCGTAATGTGGACGGAGCCTCAGAGAAAAGTTCCACCAATACAAGCGCTGGTAAGCAGAACTCTCGGTCTGGATTCCTTCGCACTAATATTAGATCAACCCATCTTTTGGGAATACCAGCGTCAATGTACAATTGACGAAAACCAAGCGTACAACGTAATGTTGCAAATAAGCATTAATCGATTTCTTTAGTTTCTGAAAAGCGATAATTAAAAAGTCTCATATAGAAAATGGTTTCAATAATTTTAAACATGTGGTGATCATTCAAAGCTACTGACAAAATAGTGCTGGTGCCACTTCTCAGCCAAACGTTTGCCTTTCCGATGATATAGCAGTCTAGTTTAGTTCCTGTACGGCTTCCTCCCTGGCCTTCACGGCCTCCCCGATCCCAGGCCTCCAGGCCGTCACCCCGAGGAGGACGCGTGGCCTAGCTCGATGATCCCGAATTCAACTCCTCCACGCATTGCAAATAGCTAACTGGTTAGCCTCTCGCTGGTCGGGATTTCTCAGCCTCTTTCCCATGGGAAAGGGCCATGAGAACGAGGCAGGATATTTTCAACAAGTTTTCAGTTTTATTTACAACACTTTTGTTTCTCGATCTATACTAAGCGTTCTCATTCAACGCAGTAGTGCTAAATACCAGAAAACTTTACAAAATGAACAAAAATCGACCAAATAATCCCTTCGAAGATTCACAAATGTGGGCCTCTCAGCTTCTGGAATTGCCGCGATAATTTTGCGATCGATAAAGGAAACTGACTAAAGTATCCAACTGATATGTTAACTTAGCATATGGATCGATATTTACACACAAATGAAATTTGTTGATGCTATTTAAAACATAGCAAAGCACTTTATATGAGGAAGCGTAGCTCCAAACTGTTGACAGCCAAATTAGAAGTCCCTTGAGATTTAAACCAATAAGGGCGCAAAACATTACTAGTTAGGTTAAAAATTAAGAGTATTACGTCGTGAAAACTGTTCTCTTTCTTAAGAATCCATTACAACAGGTTGACTGTCCAAGTAAGATCAACAAACTGGTTTCGAATTTACCTCTTGAGCAATTAAAACTGAAACATTTTTCGAAAGCTTTTCTTTCTAAGGACTTTATTCAGCAATAAATCTACTCACAAGACCTTTTTCTAGACCGTATCAATGTTCCAAAAAGAAAAAAGAAAAAAATGTGAAAATTCTCCATATATATCTATTATATACGGACTCTTTGTAATCTATTGCATGGATACTTCTTCTTGACAAACTAACTAAACGAATGCAAGCAGGTGTCACTATTCTATGGGGGTTTAAACTGAACAGACCTTTTTAAGAGCTTGGGCGTTTTGTTGCCCCATCTCAGACCATGTGACGATACTTATGAGAATTCTTGCATTGAAATTTTCAAATGTTCGCGCGTATATAAAGGAACAATTTTCAGATGGATAAAAGAACACTTCTCTAGAGAATATCCTGTGGTGTAATGGGAAAACAAACTGCTCAAGTTGAAAAGGTCTCTTCGTAGTGAAAGCAGTTTCATATAGTAGACCTTCTTGAAATCACAATCCTAGTGAATGCGTTGTAAATTAGGTATCTCCCTCGAAAAATACGATGTTTTTGGGATACATTTCCGTAAAGCGAAGATCACGGAGAGCTTTGTGCAGGTGGAAACAAATAAAGCAAAGCCGCCTACATAACACGATGGAGTTAAACTACCCACGACGGTGACGCAGAGGACAACTTCAATTAAAAATGAATTTATATTTTACCTACGAATCTCGCGACTCTCTAACTTCATTGACTTTGTTTATCACTGTCAAAACTATAATGAAACTAAATCTGGAACACAGCGATAAATTTGGAATAGAAATTTAAAACATTAGCCGTTGTGGTTCACGTTCGCCAAACAACGCAGAAATGGTAATTTCACGTTGTTGTTGTGCAGAGGATGCCAAAGAAATGTACCAGGAATTATAACGCACGCGCACAGCCATTGTTCTGCTCGCTAAACCTTTTGTTAAGCGACGTTCCCGGTGCCGTTGCCGTCGTGGTTTTCTTAACTCCCTATCTTTATTCTGCGACGGACACTAAAATAAATCTTTGAAATTGGCAAGTTTGAGGCGTGAAGATTCCCCCCAAAACAGGAACATTTTTTGTTGACCCTTAAAAGCGTTTTACTGTAAGGGGGTTCACCAAACATCTGGTCGCGCTTGACCTAGCACACAGACGCTGACGCTATTTGGAATATTAAATTTTAGCAGGATAACTATTGTTTTGAAAACAAAATGGATTTGGTCACATTTTTGTTGGGCGTGACATAATTTTTATGTTTTCCAGGGTTTCAATGCAAATATACCAAGAAAACCTCAATGAATAAAATTAGAGGAGTTTTAGAATGCATTCTTTCACATATTTTGAATAAAGAATTTACCAGATACCAGAAAAGTTTTAAGTGCAAGTTTTTCTAAAGGACTGGGTTATTGTGCCTGGTTACCAATGAGCTCTGTGATGGCAAAAATCTAACCCGTTTCATCATTATTAAATAATTCAGAGCTTTTCCATATAGTTACTCGTTGCCCCCCAGAAGTCGGTTCAATTTTATTTAGCGGGTGACGGTCAAAGAGCAACGAATCTAAAGAAGGTAAAGTTCTTTTTTTATTATTTTTCAAAGTAGAATCCCGTGCCAAATTAATATCAATTTACTTCCTGTCGAGTTAAAAATTGACATTAGCTATTTTGTACATTAGCTACAATATTTTTGTTTTCAGAGCTCTCAACCAGAATCGCATTTGATAACAATATCGAAAAGAGAAGGAATCAACTGATGTAATTTCTCTTCCCTTAAAGCTAAATTTATGGTAGAATATGAAGAAAACAGTTCATGAAAATGATGCCCTTTACTAACTATTTTGATCTCGTTGTTAATACATTCAGGGGCTAACATGAGGGGATATCTACTGTTAATTGCTTGCCTTATGGCTGTGGTGATGTTTGTAACGCTAACAGAAGGAAAGCCCATCGCGGCAGCTGACCACAAACACGAATCCGAGGATAACGTTGGCGAACAGGAGGAACAGAATGTAGAGGATTCATCTGGGTCAGGGAGTGGATCTGGCGCAGGTACGTACAGACGTCAAATTTTGCGGTAAATGATTTCTCTTTAACTTCTCTGTGATTATTTAAAGAGTTCAAAGCTCAGTCGGTCCGCGAAAAACGCAAATTAAGCTGAAAATGTTCTAAGAATCAAGTTGACCGAGAAAATTAAAAGTGAAATTAATGATGATGGCGAACCGACGGCCTGATACAGTCCATGTAGGTGGTGCTTGTAATGAACAGCGTGTTCAACCGAACAACCTGCACGCCCAGAAAAATTTCACAAAAAAGAAACGGGTTACCGGCCAGTAAGCTATAGAATTACTGCGACGTTTGAAATTTTCACGGAAAATTTCGCTTCTTCAAATTGACTTCTTGGACATCACATAAATCATGAGTCATACGAAGTGACGAAATAAATCGCGAGGAGAACAAAGGGTTACCGGTGCAGCTATTGTTCTAATATAGTTCACACCGTGGAGCGATAAAAGAGAACTGTAAATAAATAAAACCTTTTTACACAGACAAAGATCGTACTTCACTTTTGAAGTCACAAGTTTGAAATTCAAATCCTCTTTTCTGATTGCCGCATCTTTTTCTTAATCGTAATTCTGAGAATTTAAGCATGTGTCAAGCAGCATGTGTCAAGCTAGACAAGATGACGATTTTTCCACAGTTCACGGGACATGTTTCGTTATTGTATTGATACTGTAACGGGTAGGACTGTGGGAATGACTCTTGGAATGGACTCTGGGTTGAGCGAACCGGGTTCTAGGCTCTTCGAGCTCTCCTCTCTTCGAGAATGTTGTGTTGTATTCTCAGGCAAGACACTTTACTCTCGCAGTGCCTCACTCCACGCACCCAGCAGTATAAATGGTTACCGGCAAATTGTTTGGTTAGCCTGACAAGACTAACCTGCGATGGACTAGCATCCCATCCAGGGGGGGTATAATAATATCACAGGAAATGAAATATTGGGAAAAAAAAGGCATAGCCATCCGGAAATTAGTTTGCTTTTAGTTAAACCCCAACAAAATCCCCTAATATGGTTGCTCAAACAGGTTACTAACTAATGTAACCTTCCTATAATAATGATAATAATAATAATTATTATAGTAATAATAGTAATAATAATAATAATATTTTTAATAATTGTATAATAATAGTAATAATAATAATGATAATAATTTTAATAATAAAATATAATTCGTTACTGAGCTCATTCAAATTATAATAACGATAATAATAAAAAATAATGATAATGACATGCTTATTAACATTTTTATATTATTACATATATAACATTACTTAAGAATTAGCAAACATGTACCATGTTTCTATCAAGTTTTAGTACAAATCAGTACTAGTGTTCTATCACGAATGCTGTTTTCTGATTGGCTACGCTACTCACTATTTATTGTGTTATAAATAGTGAGTAGCGAAGCAGTGTGCGTTTGTTCACAAAATGACGGCCGCTTCTTTAAGTTTTCGAGGTGTCTGTGCAGAGGATTTAAATAAAGTTTTGAACGACTGGTAGATTTATACTAAAACAATTAGATTATTCGCTCTCGATTTCTATGCGTGATAGTTCCCCACTAAATTTTCTCCGATTCTTATTGATTTAAACTGATCACGTGACGCGATAGTGTTCATCGGCAGAGAGACGCTATGAGCCCTTATAGTTCACCACTACATTTTCTCCGATTCTTATTGGTTTAAATTGATCACGTGACGCGATAGTAATCATCCGCGGAGAGACACTAGCAGCCCAAAGTGCCCGTCCGAGGAAATTACCAGGATGGATAATACTCCGTGAGAAATTTTCTGTAAACAAGCGAGCTTATAAAAGAATAAACAAGTGAAATTGTATTAAGTGGGTTTTTTTTATTATCCTTTCTAAATTTTACATTTGGCTTTCACGGCTTTCTTCTAAAACAGTTGAAAATAATTCAATATGATTTTTGAACTGGCGTACAGAAGAACATTTAGTGGTGAACAATAAAGTCAATAGAGTGTTTATGTCTCGGAACTATCGGTTTGATAGTTGCCCTCGAAGCTTCTCTTCTAGGGCAAATATTTGTTTTAAGAACATCAATTTTCGCGGGGCAACTATCAGCCGATAGTTCCTCGACAGAAACATTCTATTGTTTAAATAGAAATCTCGATCAAGCTCATAATCTAATTGCTTTTAATAGAAACACGAGTGTTCACAGCTTTTAAGAGTTCTCCCAAACACCATACAAAAAAGTCTTCATTTTGGTTTTGCTCTTGATCACTTCTAGAGTTCAGTCTAAAATAAGCAAAACCAAAACAAGTATAAAGTTACAGAGATGAAATCAACTAGAAACTCTCATAACTTTCTGAGTCGTTCATGCTTGTCTCTGCTGTTAAAAGGATGAATGATCCTACCCATCAGATGCAGCCTAAAAAAAGACTATAGTTATTTATCTGGTGGATATCGTTATCCAGCCTTGGTGTTGATCAATATATTCAGTGATAGTGATAAATAATCATGAGCAATTTACGTTTCGTTAATAATGTAAAATTTAATTTTGAATTTGTACCACAGGGAAAGGAAAAGACTGCGGTGGTTGTGGAGGTCAATATCCATATCCCCAGCAACCGTACCCCCAGCAACCATACCCCCCACCATATCCCGCTCAGCAACCCTACCCCGCTCAGCAACCCTATCCCGCTCAGCAACCCTATCCCCAGCAACCATACCCCCAGCAACCATATCCCCCACAATATCCTGGTACCTCTTGTGGAGGTTCCCCTTGTGGCAAATTTAAGAAAGGCGAGGAGAAGAAGGAATCGTCAAAAAGCAAGAAAATCAGCGACGAGAAGAAGGGCAGAAAGGACAAGAAAAAGCATCATTAACCTGAATTCATCACCGTGGTACGTTGCATAGATGAAGCTTTTCACAAGGACATGTCACAAAGTATATCGCACAAACACAAATTGAGTCATTTGTCCAACAATGTGCTCAAGCCGACTTTCCTTACAAGCTTTCAAGTCTGCTCATAGTTTAAGTGAATAAAAGATTCATGAGATAACAACATAGGTGTCGATTTCTCAATGTAAAGTGAAGTGAACGAGTGTGCTGTAAGAGTTCTTTTAAAAAGTAATATAGCAAATACGAAAGACCGTGTCTGACAACATTTCCAAACGCTGAGAAGAGTGTTAACAATATGACGAGTAGCGGAGTATTTTTGACGAACTTTGAGGTGGTTAAACACTGTACTGTCTTGCGTGCACTTTGTTCACGCACTTTGAACAAACCGTCTTGCTGTGTTGAGGAGCTTTACAAAAATCACGCGAAAGCCCTGACTTCCTTTGAGAAGTGACACGGAAAACAAGGTGTCTAAAATAATTTGCCTCACCAGACCGCAATGTTGCAAGTTTGTATTAGGTCTTTGCTTTGCTTGGGAACGGTAGGTACCCGAAAGCCTGGAATTATAAGCTGCAGTCCCGGGGGGACCTTCCAAGCAATAGGCCACCAAAATGTGAAACGTAATGGAGTAACATTTTCACCACTGGATTGACTGTAATGGAGTTGCATTTTTAAGAGCGCAGTTATTAGAATGGGGTCGCACATTTTCAACCGGACTGCCTCATTGGAAATCAAAAGAGCTCTGTCGTAAAAAAAAGAAAAATGTTGGGGTTGATTCTTGGAGGTCAGCGGCGCATACCCAATGTTCACTCAAGTACCCTACCCCCTCCCCACGAGGGCTACACTTAAGATGACGCGCCCCTAACCGTCTCTTTTTTAATCGTTTCCTACAGCTCGCGAGCGTCGACAGTAAAAATATTACCCTCACCTGTCAGTTAATGATAATTTTCTTCACTTGGACCTTAAACTGTTAAGCCCAATAAAGACTTCCTTTTGGCGATTTACAATTAGCAATTATTGGAGAAGGTTGAGCAAAATATCGTGATTTGTCAGTGGCGAGCAGATCAGTTATTTGCGGAATCCGAAGGCTGAGGCCTAATAATTAATCTGCAAGACACTGACAAATCACGATATTTTGCGATGACCGAATTCAATAATTGTATCAATAATTGTTTCGATTACCTGACAGCCCAGGGAAGCGATCTGCCAGCCTTCAAACAAGAGCGTGGTTTCAATTACGCATGAGCAGAATATTAAACACATGTAGACGGTACTACGCATGAGCAGACCATTATTTGTTGGCAGTTGTTTGCAGGTCACGTGGTGGGCGCATGTCCTACGAAAAGGAACGGGAAAAATGCATCGTTGACAATTTAATTTTCATCCATATTGGACCACTTATGATAAAGTAAAAGGCCCTCCTTTGACAGTAAAAAAATGACCTTCTTTTGTTGGTTGACAGAAAAACTTAATTAACTATATATCGTATCGATTTCGAAACTTTTTAGCCGTAGCTTTCAAGTGGCAACCTTTGCTACTTGACCTATCCGTTCTAAAACTAGCTTGACGTTTTTCCTACTGACAGAAGCAAATAAAAGTTGTTATTTAAATTAAAACAAGAACGGAAAGTGTGCAGTAACTTGTCACATGGATATAGACTGGAAAACATGTTCGTTGGATGTAGCCGAAAATATATAGTGCCTAGTTAGATAAACGGTTTTGCTTAAGCGAGCATTTGCTACGGTGTGTTTTGAAAGTTCCTCTTCGGGCCTGAAGTTGAACATACGCGATCAGGTAAGACCGATTCACTAGGGCATAGATTAAAATTAATTTTTTAAGCAACCTCCATATACCAAAACCTGGCACTACTGAATTATTCTTTCCAGCTGGATTTAAAAATGGCAAATGAGAGTTCTTTGCGGCCCAACATTGCAAGGCTATCTTAACATTGGGTTGCCTTTTTGTAGATAACTTATGTTCGAATCCTTAATTAACTACTCTGTCTTAAAGTCAGTCATTGCACCACATAGCAAAACGTTATTGCTAAATCTCCAAAGTCACCGTTTAATTTTGTCATATACGACAGACACAACTGGCAACCGCAAGCTGCAGTATATTCAGGGAAAAAAATAGGCTAACAGATACAGGTGAACAGAAAGAACTGCGTTTCAATAACGCTAACTTTCATGTTATGTAAACAAAATTTAAAGCTTGAGGGAAAAATTTAACAGTTGAGAGGAACATCAGTCAAAAGGCGAATGAGTGAGACCACAGTTGTCGTCCAATAAAAGCGAAAAGTTTACTGATTGCCATATTAGACAAGACTGTAATTTACGAATGAAAAAGTATTAAATTTGGATACAACCTCCTCTGTGGAGCCTCTGTATGTCTCTGGATGAAATTTGTTCGTTTGAGCCCTATCGACTTCTTCTAATGCTTCGAAAAAAATGTACCTGAGCCGAATCGATATACGATTCGATTGTGTATTTAAAAACCGATGTTTAATTTCACGCCTTTTCCTCAAGGTCTGCTGTAAACAACTCTGTGGATAGGTTGTAGAATATAACTCAGATAATGCCGTAAGCGGATACATACGAGTCGCATATTATCCTGAGATATAAGTGAAAAACATTACAAGCTTGAGAGTTACATGTAATACTCACACAAGGCTTGGTAGCACAAAACACTTATTTGCATGAAAAAAAAGAAAGGTTGACAAACCCTAAGCCCCCAAAAAATATGGATAATAATATTCACAGCGAGTTCAGACAGCTCCTGAAGTTTATTAATCGTTTCCCCTGTTATTAGCATAATTTTATCTTGTTTCCGTTCGAAAAATTTGATAGCAAGTTACCAAAATTCACGAGCTCCCTTTTTGCCGGTATTTCTTGTTATTTCTACTATTTGTTTGAAAATACACTGGTTTCTAAAAGCCAACCTATGTTATTTAAAAATTTAATTTTAACTGTAAAAGGGACATTGTCAATGTCGCTTTAAAATTTAAAATGAAATTTTGTAGGTGTTGTCAACATTGCTATTGTGCTGTATTGTGCAATCGCTGCACTTGACCAACTTCGCCGATCTCTAAGGCTTGCGGGCTCTCATTGCACGAGCCAGGCTGATTATCAAACTTTCTTTTTCCAAATTTCCAAATAATAATACCAAATATCTACAAAACATTGCAAACAAAAATACCCCACAGAACAAAAAAGAAAAAAGCGTTTTGGCAGAAGAATAGAATTAAACGGATGGAAGTGGATTAGAGCTCATTAAAATTGATTTTAGCTGCTTTTCTTACGCAATGTTCATAAATCAAATTTACATCCTGCTGAAGTTTTGAATCCTTTATTATTAATAATTTTCCATTTTTATTTATATTTCTTTGCTCACACAACCTTATATTACAGTACATTTTTAGCAAAATGAATAAGCCTTAGGTAAAAACATGAAGCTAATCTGTCTAACACATATAGGATTAGCCTTGACCTCCTTTAACCTCTTCCCGTAAATTCGATCGCTTGTTTTCGATTGCACTTTGTATAGTTAAAGTTAGCGTAATGATGCTAAATAAAGGGCACGATGTTTAAAGGTATCCAAAAATATAAAATATGAAAATTCAAATCTGTCAGTCAACCAAAAAAACAAGCATTTAAATTTAGATTTTACACAAAAACTGGCATCGTATGTAATTGTATGTTAATGTAATAGACCTGCTTAATTATGTTAATAATATACATGCGAAAATATCAGCACGCTGATTGGCTGAGAGCACGCCATTAACCCCAAACAGTGCAGAAAGTTGAAATTGAGAGCAGAAAGTTGAAATTAAATTGCGTGTGCATTATTAACAAGTATAGTAATCAAATGATTTTTCTCGTGCAATTTGGAATAGAAAATATCATCAGTGCCTGAGCCAAAGAGTTTCTCTGGTTTCTGTATAGGTGATCAAATGATTTGAAGTGCAGTTCAAAATAAGTAAGCATTAGTAAATTTTTCAAAGACTACAAATTGCACTCGGCCACCGGCTCGTATACTTTTTCTTCGTCTTTGAATATTTACTTGTGCTTATTTATTTCAAATTGCACTAGAAAAATCGTTTGATTACCCATACAATAGCGAGCGAAAATTTTTACTTAGGCGAGGTAAACTGATTTAAGTAGAAATGTTAATGGCGGATCTCTGATTTTAACGACATAAAAGCGTGCGGATCTGCCCTTTCAAACAATGAATGGTCATGATTTTTTTTTTAAAGAGACTGATAATCAAAGAATATATTAAGATATATGAACATTTTCCTGACTATTATATTTATTACCTACCCAAGAATAAATTCATACGTTAAAACCATAAAAAAAAAAACATTTATTGGATCAGTTTAGGGTAGATTATTATATAAAGAAGAACCATGGGGAAAATATTGAATCTTACGAGTCTACAGCCCGGGTTGTTTTCGTAAGCAGCTTGGAAGACTTGAGACAAACAGTCCTTTGATAAACATCTGCTCGATTAGAAACTGACGGTCCTTTTTGAAAAATAAGGATTAGTGATCGGAAAAAATAAATTGAAGTTTTCAGCCGTTGCTATATACAAATCAAAGAGCTAGTTACAGCTGCTTTTCGCTCCACCAATCAGATCAAAGAACAGCCATGAAATTGAATTGGCACCTAATGATAGTTTTTTCTGTATCATAATCGTTCAAATGGGTCGAGATCACTAGCCCGTACTGAGCAGAACATATACGATCCGCGGACTGAAGAGAAATTTGGACGTTAATTTCAAGAATTAGTAAGTTCCTTATATTTCTGTTTGAATTCTGGTCGTGACAAAATTGACTTCAGTTGTTTAACAAGTAGAATAGCAATCTTTTTATACAACGATTACCAACAAGTGCCGATTCAAAAACGACCTAGTATATCAGTTTCTGAGATGTGACATGACACTTGAGTTTTCCTTCTGTACTTCTATCTGAATTGTGGTCGATTTTTTTCGCACCGAATTCTGTGATGGACATCGAGTCGCATTATCGAGTCGCATTGCCAATGCCTGAGAATTACTAAATTTTGTGACAGGGAACTTCGCGCGATCAACATAACAGCTCCTCATGTCCTCCGCTGTGAAAAAACTAGACCTACTGAAGTTGTGTGGGTTTTGGGCTAACTTGACAATGA